TCGCACTGCATGCTGACTCCCCTGTAATTACCTCCCGTAGCCACCAGTTCCTTCTCACTCACAACTTATACCCCTGTAATTACCTCCCGTGGCCACTAGTCCACTCACACTGCAGGCTGACACCCCTGTCATTACCTCCCATGGCCACCAGTCCCATCTCACTCACAACTTATACCCCTGCCATTACCTCCCGTGGCCACTAGTCCATTCGGACTGTAGGCTGACTCCCCTGTTATTACGTCCCGTAGCCACCAGTTCCCTCTCATTCACAACTTATACCCCTGCCATTACCTCCCGTGGCCACTAGTCCACTCGCACTGCAGGCTGACTCCCCTGCCATTACCTCCCGTGGCCACTAGTCCACTCGCACTGTAGGCTGACTCCCCTGTCATTACCTCCCGTGGCCACTAGTCCATTTGCATTGTCGGCTGACTCCCCTGTCATTACACATTTGTGGATACACTTACATTTTTCGATCATCCGACTGCGATATGAAACATTGCGGTGAAGCCGCAAACGTGTCGGTGTATTTATATCGCCAAATAGCCGTGCGTAGCTTATGCTCATTCTCATATACATATTTTAAGCCGTTAATACGGACCATTTTATTTATTAGTGGAGGCATTTTTCAAAAGTGTCATATATTGCTTTCTGTGTAAAGTAAGGCGTTGCATTCTGAACGTGTGTGTCTATTTTCTGTCATACAGTCCAGGACAATACAGTTATTTCCCCGTCCCTCTCTCTCTCTTGATACATTAGCAATGAATTATTAATGTCAGGAAAGTCGTGGCCAGGTGCCTAAGAGGGCTCGTAACAAATCAAACAATCAGCTTCACTTGCCGTTTTTCCTTCTTCCCCTTGAAACACTCGCTTATTTTACCTCGCTTACACAAATTCCTCACCCTCCTTTCCTTCTCGTTAACACCGTGATCCCCTTTTCCCAACTTCCCCTACCCATTCATCACACTCACTCCAGCATCATCATCATCAACCGCTCGCTGTCACTTTCACCATCTTTTATTTCACGAATCCTCGTCAACTTATCTTATCAATCACAACTTCTACTGTAAACATAGCTAATTATTTGGTACGCGCCTGAGTCAAGACGCGAAAATGTAAAATAATATGTTGCCCCAACTGGGACTTGATGAGATTCTTCTTCCAAACCAAAATATGATTATCCCCAAAGACTTTCCCTGCTCAGCCTGGAGTTCTGTTCACAGTCTTCTCGGTGACTTATAACCGCACGAGGAGTTGTGTGTGTGTGTATATACCAGTGTGTTTCAAAAAGCAGTACTGCTTTGAAATTGGGTCGATTTCAAAGCAGTACTGGTTTGAAATTGGGTCCATCTTTTTGCAACACCCTGGATATTAAAACGTGGGTTGTTCACAATTTGGATGGTACAATTCATATGAAAACGGATTTGGCCAGGAAGTATAAAAAGCTGATCAAAGTGTTTTTTGCTTTGCTAATGGTACAAGTTCTTAAAAGCTCAGTGTATTGGTTCCCATGAATCGTGAAATGTGCTCATTAACTGAAGAAAAATCGTATTCAGTCATTGGCCCCACCTACACCGTATCTTTCACTCAAAACTGCTCTAGAGGAGTTGTACACCCCGAGTTGCCACTGCTATTCAGTGGCCTAAAATCAAATGTTTTCGTTCCGGATGACCGCTGCAACGTATGATCTTGTGTTTAAAGGTGCATTTGAAATATTTTGATACTCCTACTGATGCTCCTGCTGTTGTGGAGTGACTCATGCAGCCAGCTATGGCTATAGGGTTTTGTGGTACATGTTGTTTGTGTTGTTTATTGTGAAATTTCGGTCAGAGTTCCTATGATCACTGTTACATTGCTTATGGCTTTATTTTGGTGATTTCGAAAACGTTTTTTGGTTCGGCCATGTCTGTTTGTTGTAGTACGGAGTTAGACTGATGGCTTTAATCTAAGTTGTCTTGTGGTTGTTGTCGTTTGACTTGCACCCCACTGGGATTTTTGCACACAGCGTTGGTGTACGATGCTTTTTTTCTGGAAGACTTTGCAGTTTTTTCCTGGATGTTTCTGTTTGCGCATAGTCACTTTAAGATGTTTTCTTGTTCATGTTTTAGTTTTTTGTTTGTTGCGGTTGCACTCGATTCAAGAGCCGAATGGCTCACAGGGCTATACCAAATACATGAAACTGAAACTGAATCCGCAAGACTACGGGACGTTACATATAATCAATGAAATATTCATAAGCAATTAAGTATTTTTTTAAAGTTGCTTCAACTATTATTTGTATGACTGTTTAATGAGGTACAGAGAATTGTATGTTATTATGTTTTATTTTTATTATTTTATTATTTCCCTTCTACGTGACTTTACCGAAAGAACCAAGAAGATGCCTGTAAACATGTTTGTTCCCTCCCCCTGTCTCTGTTGGTGTTGGTTACATGGCGTGTCTAGTTCATCATCATCATCAAAAACACGTGCTCACAATGGAGCAAATTGTTTCGGCCGCATCACCAGGCCCTGGAAAAAGACACGGTTCGCGTCGCCCTTGCTTCTTACCTTAATGCTGCTTTGCTCGGGGAAACGAACTTCTGATTCTGACACCATGCGTGTGATTTCAGTGTCATTAACTGGGGTCAATGTTCGACCTCACAGCCTGCACGGGGAATACTTCGTCAGCCCAAAAGCACGGACTTAGAGGACTGAACGCAAGCTTCTCAAGACATCCAAACCAAAAAAAAACTCGACGCTTTAGTCACAAACATTGTGGCCTTCAAGGAAAATAAATATATAATAGGTGACGTTGCGCGCATGTGCTATGAATAAGGGTCATTGGCCGAAACGTCGCCTATGATATACGTTTCCTTGTAAGGCCATGGTGTTATTGACGTATGTGTTGGGTTTTGTTTGTGGATTGTAACTCGTGCACCGCTGAAAATGCTGCAACGGCATCACCAGATAATTAGTTTGAATTATCAGACACCGGTTTGGTCCCGTCACCACGTAGCGTTGTAACCACTAAAACATCCCTCATCAGATATTTCCTATGTTTGAAATTAAGCCGTAATTATAATATATTTTTTCAGGACATACACATCCCCCCAACATTCAAATATGCTCAAAATGTCCCCCCCCCCCAATATATCGCTATAAAATCGATTTCTGTTTATATGATTGTGGTTATGGTTGCACTTTATTAATCCCTAATCTCTGCCATCACATACAATGAAACAAGAAAAGGTAAAAAAGAAAAAAACAGAGCAATGCAATACAATACACTATAGACATTATTGTAAAAAATTAATAAATAAAAAGCCCATCCTATGTGTTAGTGAATTTTTTTCATATTTTAGGCAGGAAATGGCAGGAATTTAGTTTTCAAATTTAGATTATTTTCTGGGGGGGGGGGGGACCCCAGACCCCCTGAAAGATTTGGTCCCCCCCAATATTGACTCCATGGCTACGGCCTTGCCCTACAGTCACGAAAGTGTCAAGTCAGCATGTAACCTACACAACCGGCCTAGACATCACCTCGTGGCCACTGTGCGTACTGCATCTCGTGGTGGTGGTGGTGGCATCGTGAACACGCGGGGAGCGGTAGCGTCGTCGCGGTCATCGCGCTGCGGCACGAGATAATAGACAGCACTTGCCCCCGACATTCTGTTAAGGCTACACGGGGGATCTGTGCCTTTGTTTTGTTGTTGTTTGTGGTTACGCAGTAGTGCAATGGTTCGTGCGTTGCCCTGCGAATCCGGCGACCCGGGTTCGATTCCAACTCACGGTCACCACCGCCGGTGACGATTCTCTCTGAACCGATCCTGGGCCTCCCCACTAGGTCGACTCAGCCTCAAAATGAGTACTAGGGGAGACAAAGGCGGCCGGGCGTGGTGTTGGCCACCCACCACCTCGTGCGCCGTGCCGGCCTTCATAGGGTTGCTAAATAGGGCAGCTGAACGATTCGGGGAAAATATCTACAGTATCATCTTGGTTCTTTCGGTAAAGTCACGTAGAAGGGAAATAATAAAATAATAAAAATGTAACATAATAAAATACAATGCTCACGACGTTTCGGCCACAACGCAAGCAGCCGTCCTCAGGTGAAGAACAGGGCTTTAAAATCGAAAAATATCTACAGTAATTGAGATTTTTCTGACAGATATTGCGATTTGATTTGAGATTCAATTTGTTAAAGTCAAGCTTCAGTTCAATATTCACTGTGTAATAGATTTAAAACATGCGATGGAGCATTTCCACATGATACCATCACAATATGAACTGTTCTATATATTCTAATGCGAGGATGAGAACTTGAAAGATATGAATTGAATTTCGATTTAAAGCTTTCGTGACTGCAGGGATTCATCTTCTTGGTTCTTTCGGTAAAGTCACGTAGGACGGCTGCTTGCGTTGTGGCCGAAACGTCGTGACAATTATTTTATTGTTTTATTTTTATTATTTTATTACTTCCCTTCTACGTGACTTTACCGAAAGAACCAAGAAGAGATATGAATTGCTTCCGGCATGTATTTATAAAAAAAAATTGAAATAAAACAATCAAACATAGAACAATTGTTAAGGTAAATAAATACAATAATATGTATCTTGGTGATATCTGTCTGCTTACATTTCTGTCTATAGTTTTCTGGTTAGATTCTATGTCGCTATTTCATTATACCTGATGATGATTGCTTGTGTTGCAATCGAAACGTCGTATGCTATTATTTAATTTATTATTTTATCTTTATACGTGACTTTACCGAAAAAACCAAAGAATAGGACTTTTCAAATAGCAAAAAAATCGCAGCCTTTACAATTTGCTAACCGCATTGCTTCAAATTGCGATTTCGATTTGAAATCGATCAATCGTTCAGCCCCCAGTTGCTGCACGCTGACAGCACTTGCCCCGACATTGCGTCACAGGCTACACGGGGCGCCTTTGTCTTTAGTGTTTTTTCTCTGTGGGCGGAGTCCGACGTCACGGGGAGGGGCCACCGGCTTCAAGGTGACTCGGCCAGCTCCATCATCCTCCTCCTCTCTCTGTCGTCGCTTCCTCGCCATCGTCACCACCCTCCTCCATCCTCCTCCTCCATCACCATCGTCGTCTCTGGCTACAGCGCGCAAGGCAGTGGGAGCGAGAGACACAGAGACAGAGACAAAGACAGACAGACAGAGAGACACAGACAGAGAGACAGACAGAGACACAGAGAGCGGCTTCACGAAGCGAAGTAGGTTTCGCGACGCGAGATGTCTCTCAACAAGGTGACCATCGACAAGGTGGACGTGAAGGGGAAGCGCGTCCTCATGCGGTGAGTGTCTTAGTTTGTGTGTGTCTGTGCCTGTCTGTGTGTCTGTCTGTGTGTGTCTCTGTCTGTGCCTCTGTCTGTGTGTGTCTCTGTGTGTGTGTCTGTCTCTGTGTCTCTGTCTGTGTCTCTGTGTGTCTCTTATAGGTGCTCGTTAACAGCACTTGCCCCTACAGTCTGTTAAGGCTATACGGGGGATCTTTATCTTTGTCTCTGTGTGTGTCTGTCTGTGTGTCTCTGTGTCTCTGCGTCTCTGTCTGTCTGCGTCTCTGTCTGTCTCTGTGTCTCTCTGTGTGTCTCTGTCTGTGTGTCTGCGTCTGTCTCTGTGTGTGTCTGTGTCTCTGTGTGTGTCTGTGTCTCTGTGTCTGTCTCTGTGTGTCTCTGTCTGTGTCTCTGCGTCTGTCTCTGTCTGTCTGTGTGTCTGTGTCTGTCTGTCTGCGTCTGTCTCTGTCTGTGTGTGTCTGTGTCTCTGTGTCTGTGTCTGTCTGCGTATGTGCCTGTGTCTGTCTGCGTCTGTCTGTCTGTCTCTGTCTGTGTGTCTCTGTCTGCGTCTGTCTCTGTGGCGGAGCGCTACGAACCCCGTGCCCCCCACCCCCCGCTGCTTCCATTTCTCGCTCCACGGCCACCCAACAACCACCCACAACGATCACCCGAACCGGTTCACGGGTCTCCCCCCCCCCCCCCCTAGGTCGACTCGGCCTCAAATGAGCCACCCCGGTTACGGGTGCGGTGTAAAACGTCGCCACGGGGGGGTGGGGGTGGGGGGAGAGAGACAAAGACGGCTCTGGCGTGGTGGGTGTTGGCCACCCCACGTGTGCCGACTCTTCAATGGCCTTGCTGCTGCACCGTCTGGGCGAGTCGCTGTCAGCTGGGGGAGCTTTGTCTTTGTGACGTCATTGGGGAATACAAAGGCGGACGGGACGGGGCGTGGTGCCGGCCAAACCCACGGGACTTGATGGGCGATCGTCAACCAAACTTGCCCTCCAGGTTGACCCGATGCTTATTATGCGGTAATCAAATAATACGAAGTGGCAATTGAATTGTTTTATTTCAGGGGCCACTGAGGGTCACCATAGAACAGGGGTCGGGAACATTTTTGACTGGGAGAGCCATACAAGCCAAATATTTCTAAATATCTTTCATTGAGAGCCATATAGTATTTTTAACGTATAATACATTAAATATGTATCACTTTTAATGCGACTTCTGGTGCTGCGTGGTTTTGCTGATGGCCTTGTAGTCTGGTTCATACGTGGTGAGGTTGAGCTTCATGCAGGCGTGAACCGTGAAATTTATCTTCAAAACTAATTTCTGTTTACTTTAAAATGACACAGTATTAAGCAATATCACAAGTATTTTAAAATCAGTTCCAAACTGATTTTATTTTTATTTTTTAATTTTCATTATTTCAACTCAAAATTGTCTGGGAGCCATATGCCGTCACCGGAAGAGCCATATATGGCTCGCGAGCCATAGGTTCCCGACCGCTGCCATAGAACGTCGCACGAACGTTGCGTCAACGTCGCCCGAACGTTTGGCCCGACGTTGGGACACCGCATAGCACACGCAATGTCCGTGATGCTGTCCAATTTTTTAAGTCTTTTGATGGTTTGCCCCGGAGTGACCGCCATAAGCTTCAAGTGTCAAATCTTGAGTGATGGGTTTTACAGTAACAATTCTTACATTGCCCCCGTTAACGGCGCTGACCCAACATTCTATATAAAAATAGATCGTTCCGCACAAATATAAACGGAGGCGTCTATTAATAAACGTTGACATTTTAACAGCAGAGAGCCGTGGAATGCGACGGTCAGCAACGAGGATGGACCCCCTCCCCCCCAAATCCCCCTCTCGGTTATCGGTTCTCTCAACCGGTTACCGGTTCACAGCCCTCGACCCGTGGCTGGTTTGTGAATGATGCGTCGACCGGCGTTGCCATTCCCCGAGGGCATTTTTTTTCCCTTCGGTCCGTCCGCCCATTTCCGCATCGATGGCGATGATTTTTTTTTATTTTGAAAGCGTTTTGAGGCTTTAGTATTAACGCGGCTTTAAAGAGGAAGAATAAGACTGGGTTGTAGGGGGGGGGGGGTGCAGACTTGGTGTGGTGTTTGCGCGGCCCTCTGCAAAAAAAACATGAAACGTCGGGACGAACGTTGCGGCAACGTTGCCCGAACGTTGGGCAGGACGTTGGGTCAACGTTGCATATTTGATGGACGGCGCATTCGCTACGTGGTCGGCGCAGCCCAAATGAACATGAAACGTTGGGGGGGGGGGGGGCCCGCCAACGTTGGATGAATTAATAAGTGGGGGGGGGGGGGGGCAACGTTGGATGATTGAACACGTGGGGGGCCCACCAACGTTGGATGTATGGACAAGTGGGCGGGGGTAGGGCAACGTTGGATGAATGTACAAGTGGGGGGGGCCCCAACGTTGGATGTATGAATAAGAGGGGGGGGGGGCGAACGTTGGATGATTGAACAAGTGGGGAGCCCACCAACGTTGGATGAATGTACAAGTGGGGGGGGGCTACGTTGGATGAATGTACAAGTGGGGGGGGGCAAACGTTGGATGAATGTACAAGTGGGGGGCCCACCAACGTTGGATTTATTAACAAGTGGGGGGGGGGGCAACGTTAGATGAATGAACACGTGGAGGGGGGCCCAACGTTGGATGTATGGACAAGTGAATGACTTTGCATGGCTGCTCGGCACCACTGCGCCAGTTGATTCACTTCCCCTGCCCCCCTCTGCACCGAGTGCGCACGCGTGCGCCTATTTATCAAACAAACACACACACGCACACAAAGCAAGTAGCGACCTCGTCAATCCACTGCTGCTTGAGGACCTCCCAAGACCAAAGCCCGCACGAACCGCGCCTCAACCTCTCCGGCAAGGGCGCCCGAGCATGAGACGTGGGCGCGAGCATAGAAGTACAGCACAACGATGGATTTTTGCTGCGACAGCGGCAGCCGATTTAACGCGAATGCCTTGCCCTGGTGCAACGTTAGTTAGGGGCCGTCCATAAATGACGTCACGCACCTGGGGGGGGGGGGTTAGACATTTGTGACGATGGGGGGGGGGGTTGAGAAATGTGACGTCACATCAAAATGCGCAACTTTAAATAATTATAGACAACACGTTCTACTTAATTGAATAGACTTTTTCATAAATGTTTTCTATTACAACATCAGAGTGCAGCGCCACATTAAATACGCACTACACTGACAATAGTTTAAAGCGATTTGAAGTATGTATTATTTTCAAAATGGAAATATGGTTTTGGGGTGGGGGGGGGGCTTTGTGACGTCATATTTGAGGGGGGGGGGGGGGTCTGACTTTTTGTGACGCCATGTGACGAGGGGGGGGGGTCAAAAATCGTCCAAAATCGCGTGACGTCATTTATGGACGGCTCCTTATAGCATGGCTTCACTGGGGTGTTGGCCGCCCATTCAATCACTGTCCATGATCATCAACTCTGCCTATGGTCCGAGATCTGACGAGATTGGGCACGTTTCAAAGTGATTCGGTCATGAATCAACCTGAAAACATTCCTACAGTGGGTGGCTTCGACAGGACACCCTCTGGATACCCGTTACCCCACTTGTGAAAAAACCACATGCATCCCACGAGCATGTTTTACAGTCTGCAGCACCGGCATGGAATCGGCGTGTAGCCCCAGTGGGGGTCGGCTACCAAAAATGACAAGGAGAGGCATTTTTGTTTTCGGATTCGGTAAAAATAAGAAAATCTGCAACATTTCAAGAGCCGCAATGCATGGTGGTGAATACGAGAAACAGTCCTTAATGGTAAACTGGACTCCCATGGTGAACGGGACTCCCATGGTGAACGGGACTCCCATGGTGAACTGGACTCCCATGGTGAACTGGACTCCCATGGTAAACTCGACTCCCATGGTAAACTCGACTCCCATGGTAAACTCGACTCCCATGGTAAACTCGACTCCCATGGTAAACTCGACTCCCATGGTAAACTCGACTCCCATGGTAAACTCGACTCCCATGGTAAACTCGACTCCCATGGTAAACTCGACTTCCATGGTAAACTCGACTCCCATGGTAAACTCGACTCCCATGGTAAACTCGACTCCCATGGTAAACTCGACTCCCATGGTAAACTGGACCCTTGATAAACTGGACCACTTCCACAGTTATGGATTGGCAACCAAAATAACAAGAAGAGCCATTTTTATTTTCGAATTTCCAGAGCCGCCACTGCAGTCCCTTAAAGAGTCACCGCACGCCATTCGGCTAAGCAACCGCAGGCTGCTGACCCCCTGGCCACCGCCAGGAATACAACATAATTTGGAAGCTTGGCAGATTTTAAACTTGGATTTCACGTTTGGATGGGCAATCGCCATGCATGGCTGGTTGATATAGGGTGGACAGTGTAGCAAATGGAATTGTTCTGTACTGTACTTCGATGCTCATCATATCAGCGGTCCCCACCTTCAACTTACACTCACCAACGTGGTGAAGTATGGTGAGCAAATAACTCCCTCATCTAGTAGGGAAGGCTGTACATGTGTAGTGACACAGCACCAAATGCTGTCCAGCAGCGGCAACTGCGGTGGACAGCGCACACGCAGTCGAGCACATACACGGCTGTGTGTGCCGGCAGGGCGGAAGAACTGGGGCAAGGGTCACGGAAGACCTCATAGGGAGGCCCCTGGAACCATCTAGTATGTTCGAGAAGTCTAGAAGGGAGGCGCGGCTAGGGCGGAGCCAGGCTGCGCCGAGTAGAATAAAAGCAGCGGAGAGCGAGAGCTCCGGCCTGCCGGTTCTGGGAGTGGACTCGTTCCGACGTCGCAGCAAAACAACAGCAACAAGAACAGTCCCAGACCAAATCAAGACAACGACACGCAGTCCGTCAATAAAATTGCACATGACGGTACTGCGTCATCCGCAGCCACCGCCGAAAAACCACGGGTCTTTAGCGAGCGCGGTGCCAATCTGCTGCGTGATGGAGGCCGTCCTCCCCACGTCGTTTTGGTCGTGGGAGTTTCGCAACCATAGGCGTCGCCACACCCGCTCGTTCATTTTGTGTCCGTCGTTATCGACTTGGTCCGATCGTTGACGACCGTTCGTGTGCACTGGCCCACGCGCGGTCAGTCCACGGGCGTAAATTATCAGCTGTGCACGGCTCCTCGAGCAGGCCAACCACATATAAACATGCATCACTTTGCCAATGGGAAGACTGACCTTTAACGATACTGTAACAAGTGACCTTGGATAACAAACAGTATTCAACCTCCGTCAATCGACTGCTGGAAAGAAGGCCTCTGCCACGTCATTTCAGTCATCGTGGTCGCTTGACTACTGCACCACGCCAGTCAGTCAGCATTGAAGGTTGGGGGGGAGGTGGAGGGGTGGCAGAACTGATTCAGATGTCCACTCTGCCGCTGGCTGGGAATCAAAACTCAGGTGGCCAGATTCAGAGTGCGGTGTGAGAAACCCGGGCGCTGCCACTGCACCATATGCGTATATGTCCAGACCAGCGTAGGCTTCGCCTTATTACTGAATCGTTCTTCGTAATATCACTTCACAACGTTAGCAAGGTGGCAGGTGGTTCGTTCCCCTTGTATGAACCGCTTGCGTTGTGCAGCGCTCGCATAACTGGAATAAATAAGTAAGGTCACCGGAGCTGCGTGTAGCGGTGCACGTCCTCAAACCGCAGGGGATTTCAGGGAACCGCCCATCCCTGCCCTGCCGAGCCCTGCCCAGCCCAACTAGTTCTGCCCTGCCCTACCCTGCCAAGCCCTGTCCAGCCCTCCCTACTAGCCCTGCCTTGCATCTCGAGTAACTCGAGCCCGCGCAGGAATTTGCCCGCGTTGCTTTGGCGTGGAGCCGTTTTGGCAATAGCACGCGTGGGGACGTGGGTGCAAAGTACAGTCCTGTTTGCAGTGGATGCTCCCGGATAGGACGCATCACTGTGACCTCTTTTCCATGACTGGGCTAATGTCTCTGGAAGCACGAAGAAGTTTTCATTAGGCGATATTTATTTTTTATAAGGTCATTTACCCAAAGGTCTGCACTTGATCAGATTCTTAGATGTCGTAGCGGCGACAAAGTTGTGGAACCAACTGGTGATCGCTTCTCTGGCGATCACCACTGCCATCTCTCTACTCTTTTAAACATACATTATTGAGGTCGAAATAACACAAATGCGAATGTATATAATTGTTTTGTAAGCTCAATTGGTTTTAATGACTTTATTTGTATTTTATATCGTGCCTATTAATTGATGTATAACTCTTGATGCCGTGCCTGTCTGCTGGCCGAGTCACCATTGAAAAATAACTCAATGGGTAATCTCCTTGGATAATACATTTCTGATTCTGCGAGGCATCCCAAATTGCCAAATCGCCCAGAATGCGCCAGACAGAGGAAACTAGGCAGGCTGGATGGCTGCCGTAGGGGGTTGCGGTGTCAGCAGAAGGCAGTGCCGCAACCATCCATTGTCGTTCTGTACAATGCTGTCCACCTTTACAGCCGTACTTACCGGCGTGGTGAAGTATTGTCAAATAACCTGCAGCACCTGCATGGCCTGAATCCAGCAGGGGATTGGCAAAGGGCTCACAACCATTACTGTACCATGAAAGGGTGGAACAGTGTTAAATGTCAGCCTGCCCATTTGCTAAATTACACCTATATAATGAAAACTAAAAACGATGAAATTTTTTGTATCTTACCAGGTAAGGCCCACTGAGCTACATGGCTCTTTTTCAGAAGTGACCTGGCCACAATTGATGACTCGACGAAGTGTGGCATTTGATAGCAGACAAATATTCTTGAACGCACGTTGATTCTAAATGTGGAGGGAAAAACCGCCAGAGGACGCGGAGAAAAATCCACGTGACCACGGGGAGAGAGACACGCAAACTCCAAATGTACAGGCGTCAAGGTTGCGATCGAACCCGCAAACTTATTTGCTTAGAAAGTGTGGCTGACATTGGAAAGTATCACCTCTCTATGACTCAACATTTTATGATTCATTTGCTCCAACGCATAGAATTAGCAGAATCAATCGAATGATTCACTTCTGGCAGCACAAGAAGCGTTTTTTTTATTTTACAGGAAATGCTGCTCGCTATAATTCGGCACACAGAGCGGGGGTTCTTGAGTTGAGTCTTTCTGCGGCAAACAGAATTCATGAAACCATGGTGATTATCATCGATATCTCTTCTGGGCTTGACTGGGACGTACACCGTGTGTGTGGACTGGAGCATTGCTTTTCGGTTTGTGGGAAGTTGGAGGTGCAGTAGTTGTCGTTCATGGAGACCGGCCTGGGAATGTGGAACTTTCCACCTGTGGCTCAGACACTGGCAACAGAGATGACTGCTGCCCCCCCCCCCCCCCCCCCCTCTTTTGAGCAGACTCTAAAATGCGTTACCTTTACTGTAGCCTTATACTCCTTTGATTTTCAATCGTAAAAAAATTTAAACTGTCAATAAATACATAGGTTTAATGAAACAAAGTAAATGCATACCCTTTGGTTCTTTCGGTAAAGTCACGTAGATAGGAATTTAATAGATCACGACGTTTCGATCGCAACACAAGCAATCGTCATCAGGAGGGGTGGCCACAGCAATAAAAAACTGCTGTGGTTGTCCTATCCGATAACGGTCGCTTGTGTTGCGAACGAAACGTCGTCGTCTATTAATTTTCTATCTACGTGACTTTACCGAAAGAGCCAAAGAGTATGGATTCCTGCAGTCACGAAAGCTTCAAATCAACAAAGTAAATGTACTTTCGTGTCCCGTGCTTAATTTGTATTTTGGATGATTTACCTCCGAAAAAATCCTGGCCATATCTCGCACCCCAGAGAGTGCTTGCACCCCAGGTTAAGAACCACCGCGCTAAGCACTGGACTGCAGGCCGAGGGTGGGGGACAATGTGTGGATGTTGAGAACCTAGCCTGGTACGGACCGCCACGCCGGATCGGCTGTGTTGTGATTTGACGGCGTTTGCCTGTTTTTCAGGGTGGACTTCAATGTTCCTATGAAGGGGAAAGAGATCACCAACAACCAAAGGTAACTATTGCCACGGAGAGCTGCGCTTGCTGTCCTATCGGAGCTACCGCGACCCCTTGGCTCATTTCCCCTCTCCGGATGGCTGTGCGTCACTCGCTCGCACGCAGCACATACGCTCCCTGCTGCCGTTCCTTGGAATTCCCACCTACTCCTTACGATATGGCACGGTAACGGTAAACTGCGATGCCTTTGCGATGAGCGCGGCATCGAGGGTTTTGAATGGGTCGTGAGTGGCGTGAACGAGGTACGAACGTCGCCACCTACGAGTGAGATGGCAAAAGACGGAAAAGAAACTTGACACTTTCGTCAATAATAACGCTGTGCGTGCGCGGCCTGAAAAGGAAACACAATACGCAAAGTGGGAAATGTTTCGGGCAATGGCCTTTCTTCGTCGCACGATTGAGTTTGTCGTCTACGTTACTTGTGCTTGTTCACCACCAAGCCGCGCTCGTACCGCCGTCCGGCAATGTGCCCACGCCCCTTGGATCACCCGTCATTGCACAGTTTATCCCGGCGTCAAACACCTGCCGCACTTTTGCCGCGGCGCTTAACGCGTGGGGGCGATTTAACGCCGCGCGACGGGAAAGAAACCCTGAACGCGAAAGCAAAGCCCCAGACCATTCCGCTGTCAATATTCTTGTCATTGCTCGGCTTGTTTGCCCAGAAAACCCTCACCGAGTCTCATGACTGCTTTCCAGGAGTGTCCTGGCAGGGTTTCGCAGTAGCGGGGGTGGCAACAGTTTATAAATTCAAATTTAGTACTTTGCGGTGTAATTGTTTTTGGAAAATTACCCCCCAAGATAGGTATTTTCAAACTGAAATAAAATGCATTCTCTTTCTATTCCCAGTTGTGTACGTTGAACTTCTTTCACACCGTACGTAGCCAACCGTGCTAATCGGGGGTGCGGGGGAAGGACAACAAACTAAACACTAAAAGCAGTTCGAAAGAATTTCGTTTCCAATCTAGATTTTAAAAGTGCATAGCTCCAGCGGCCTCCGTGTATCCGTACCGGAGGTTTCGGTTCGCTCATGTTTGGGCACACACCGAGAAACTAACACCGTAGTCACGTCCGTGACGCCGCCGCGTGTTTTGACTGGGATCTCTCTCCGTCCAGGATTAAGGCGGCAGTGCCGAGCATCCAGTACTGCTTGGATCATGGGGCCAAGTCGGTGGTCCTCATGAGCCACCTTGGCCGTCCCGACGGGGTCCCCATGCCCGACAAGTACTCGCTGGGACCTGTGCAGCCCGAGCTGAAGAAGCTGCTGGGAAGGTGGGGTTCTGTGTGTGTGTGCGTGTGTCTTTGTGTGGCTGCGTTGGCTGGGTCATGTAGCCTGCATGCCCAGCCACCGCATGCCTAAACAGCTTTTGTTCGGCCCGGATCGAGGGGGCTAAACGGGCATGGCATGGGCTAGAGAACAGATGGAGTGATGTGGTACAGGAGGACGTGGAGCTGAGTGGACTTGGCATTGACTGGTACCAGCGGTGTCAAGATCGGCCTCTGTGGAGGAGGCTCGTGAAGGACGCTACTGAACAGTTGGAGGCAGTCGCCCTCCAACAACAACGGAGGGCGGAGGAGCGACGCTCGCAACAACGAGCGGTGCGCCGGGTGGCTAAAGCACAGCAAGTTAGCACAGTAGGGGGCACAGGTGGTGCATCAGCCAGTCATCTCAGTCTTCTCAGTCAGTCGACCCGTGGCACCTGGGTCTGCCCCTGACCTCCTGCCAGCGGGCGTTCGACACTTCACGTGGCCTCAAGGTGCACATGGCCTGGCACAAGCGTCGTGGTGACATCACCGCCACTTAGTGGCGAATGGCGGTTTTTGTTGTGTGTGTGTGTGTTTGTTTTTTGGGGAGCGGTGGTGGCGCAGTTAGTGCAAACCTAGCGACTCGAATTCGATTCCCGCTCACGGCCAACACCAATGACGATTGTCTGAACCGGTCCTGGGCCTCCCCGAGGTCAACTCAGCCTCAAATGAGTACCTGGTGCAGTGTGTAAACATCACCACTGGGAAGACAAAGATGGTCGGGCGTGGTGCTGGCCACCCATCCGCACGTGTGCCGTGCCGGCCTTCATAGGGGCTCGCTAACAGCACTTGCCCCAACAGCCTGTTAAGGCTATACGGGGGATCTCTATCTTTGTTTCTTTATTTGTCTGGAGTGGTAGTGCAATGGTTAGTGCGTTTCCCTACGAGCCCGGCGACCCGAGTTTGTTTCCCGTTCACGGCCAACACCAGTGACGATTATCTGAATGGGTTCTGGGCCTCCCTTGAAGTTCCTCAGCTGAATTACTGAAGTTGTCTTTCGAATTCGTCACCAGCGGATATTTTTTTTTTATCATGCGACGGTTTTCGGTGAACCAGGGAGCGGAGAAAATTCAGGGGGAGAGTTCACGTAGAATTAAAGAGTGATCATGGGGGGAATGTTCAATCGCTGCGATGAGACAGAGGGCAGCAGTGCGACGCCGGGCAGCAGACCGTAGCTAAGGCTGCGGCCGCGACTCTGTGTCCGTTTGCGATCGAGTGAGAGTTACGCGGCCGGTGCCGTACCTGTTCGCGACGGAACGCAGGGACGTGCAGTTCCTGTCGGACTGCGTGGGGCCCGAGGTGGAGGCGGCGTGCGCCAGCCCGGCCACCGGCTCCGTCCTGCTGCTGGAGAACCTGCGCTTCCACGTGGAGGAGGAGGGAAAAGGCAAGGACGCCGCAGGGAACAAGGTGCGTGGGCTCCCCCCCCCCCTCCTCGCCTGCAGTCTACGCCACTAGCCCATTGGCACCTCTCTGGCCTTGCTCAATGAGCCGTGCGTGTCGGGGTAGCTCTCGGTTTGCAGTGTTGGAAATATGCCTTTTTCTAAAAACTTATATTAAGAGTGATTTTGCCTATTTTTAATGGAATCGTTTTTTTTAAATCCTTTATATTAAGTTCGCTTGCTTGCTTAGGACCGTGCAAATCTTTCGGTCGTTTTTTAACCCACTTCCCGTGATCCAATCGAGCTGACATTTTGCACACAGACCCGTTGTGCGTGACAATGCATTTTCGTGAGAATTTTTTTCCAAAATTTTACACTGTTTAGGGGAAACAATTTAATATTTAATTACCAATTGTTTAATGCTGCCAGACAATCATCTGACCCATAGGTGGCAGCCATCTCAAGCCAGAGGACGAGAGGACTCTAGCCGCCCCGATGCCACGCATATAAAGGATTTATAGTGAAAAACTTTGTTTTTACGGGTTAATTTTTTTAGTTAGATCTGCATTTAGCGCTGTGGCACAGACACGTGGTCACTGTGGGGGAGGGGGGGTGGCACGTGCCAAGGGCAGTGAATCATTACAAGCTGGCTGGGGTTTAAAAGTTCAGCAGTAGAGTTCCAAGCTTGGCTATATCATCAACCTCGGGATATCAAAACATAACTTGAGCATAAGAAGCGCGGACCTTTGGCGACACAGATGGGGAATAAAGGTGAATAGGCCCTCGACTGAGTGTGTGTGCGCGACGCACGCCGCCCGCACACACACACAAGCCTCGAGCAGAAGGAAGAAGAGACCTACGACACTACACTCCTATACACACATAGATCATAGATATACACTTTCACGTAATATTTTTAATCACACATTTAATTACACGTACGATTGATTATATTACACTTACAATTAATTAACATGAAACACACGCACACGTTTAATTATTTTATTATTTTCGCCTAATTTGCATACTTACATAATTTCATACATTTGCTGAGAAAAATCACGTGCGGGGAAAAAAAGATCTGGAACGCCCTGCCACCGGACGTCACGAAGGAGCCGAGTGTCTCTCAGTTCCGTGGTCCATGCAAGACGCATCTGTTCATACTCGCATTCCCGTAAAATATTACTATTTTATTTACCGCTTATTTTTCTCATGCTATTCGTTAGGCCCGGTAGCACTTCATTTTGCGTGCGGCCGCAATCTACTTTGCTCAGTTGGTACGCTCCATCACCGTTAAGCCTTCATGCAAAGGTTGTGAAGAGGCTTACTGGCTGTTGCGTACAGAGGAAGAGACGGCCCCCCACCCCATACGGCAGTCGTCCCTGTAATCGTGGCTCGGCTTGTGTGTACGTATGTATGTTGAACTTCTTTTGCACAGTACGTAGCCAACCGTGCTAATCAGAGGTGTGGGGGAAGGACCTTGGTTTGGGTGTGCAGTGGTCAAATGTTTTTGCTGTTTTCTTATACAGGATTGTGAGATGCAGTTTTGCATGAACGACGCTACGTAAAATGTGATTATGATTATAAGTTGTACATATCACTCGTGACTCATGTTTGCCATGGCCGGGAATCGAACTCAGTTTTCCGCGTTTATAATGCAGCATGGAAGCCACCGCTACACCTGGTCTAAGGGGTGCGATGTGATGGCTGATGGCGGACGGGTGATGATGGCTATGAAGGGCATGAGAGAAGGGGGGAAGCCCCTTAGTTGTGAGTGTGTGGGTGGAGGGTCTGTGGTGGGTGTTGTGTTAGAACGGTGTTCTTCATTGTAAGGCCTGGGGCCCCTGGTAGCTTTTTGATGGGGCCCCTGACAATACACAAATGTGAAAACACCCCACCATCATCATCGTGCTGTCTAACCCAAAGGTTTCAATTCAAATGTGTGGCGGCCCTCGCACTGAGATGTCTTCTCGGCAAAAGTGCCCCCCCCCCCTCTCAAATTGAGTGAAGACCACCACGTGAGCAGCGCCTTGTTTCTCCTCCCGCGCTCGCAGATCAAAGCAGACGCAGCCGCCGTTGCGACGTTCCGAGCATCGCTCTCCAAGCTTGGAGACATCTACGTGAACGACGCGTTCGGCACCGCCCATCGCGCTCACAGGTGTGTCCCCCGCACGCGTGCCCGGGTTAACGGCCACCCTGGTGAACATGTGCCCGGGTGAACGCACACCCGGGCAAAGGCGGCGTGGCGTGAGTCATGCGGAGGGGTGGGGTGGCCTCGATCGCTGGCAGTGAGCAAGCCAGCGTCTGTGTCGTGTTAACATGTCGCGCGCGCAAGTCAAATTTATATCCGGGAGTTAATTTCACCGTGGATTTTCCTCGAAGTGTTGTAAACGTTCCATCCGACTTTGCAGCAGCAAGACAAATTGTGACACTGTACCGTGCTGATGAGTCTGACCTGAGGATGAAACCAGCCCATAGTTGTGCATCACTGCTGCTGATGCTCAAATTTTTATTTTGACGCTGATCTAAGACGCAGGACCACGATGCACCTCTTTGGGAAACGGTGATGGCGATCTGGTTGCAATAGGCGCCGGGTAAAAAATAATTACCACTTGATTGACTGACACCAGGGATGCTGCCTTGCTGCGCTACATCGTACGATTCAAGATCCACGATAATCGTATCATCAGTTACGCAAAATATCATATTGTGATTTATAGTTGGTCATTTAATTTGTCTATTTCATTTTGTGACAGACTATAAAATAACAACAAAGATCGAAATAATAGTTTAACACATTGGATCGCAATAATAAAGTAAAAATATAGCTTTCACCCATCAACTTAGTGCATGGTAAATTATTTTTTGGAGTAACGGACTGCCCCAATTATTATATTACGTCACAATTTTCTGACAGCATGTGCGTTATAAACATAATTTTCACTCTTATTTGAAGTACCAGGCGAGGTAGTTAACATCTCGCCACCAAATTGCCCTTCCGCTCTAATCTTTTGCCTCGACTTCTGCTAGACGTCTCAACATCGATATCGTGCGTAGTTCAAAGCAAGAAGGACGACAACCGAAAGTGATTTTTTTTTCTCCCCTTTTCTCGTTCCCGCGCGGTCGCGGACAAAACGCGGAAGAGAAAGCCTCTTGGGCGAGTTTTGCGAATCGCGGTCCGCTCGTGTTTTTTCTCCCCCAGCTCCATGGTCGGCTGCGACTTGCCCATCAAGGCGGCCGGATTCCTGATGAAGAAGGAGCTTGACTACTTTGCCAAGGCTCTGGAGAAGCCCGAGAGACCGTTCTTGGCCATTCTCGGAGGGTAAAGAGCCAGACCCGGCCATCGATTTGAGCGATGTGAATTGTGTGGTTGGTGACGGCGAACGATAACCTTTCGAGGAGCGGCGCGCTGATGCGAACGATCGATTAACGCGCTCCGTGGCTTAATTGGTGCACCATCTTCGCGCCTCTGAACACTTTACGTTCAGTTGTGAAACCATAGATCAGAGCGGTGCACACGCTCGTCTATTCGCTCATCTATTTATTGCGTCCCCCTCGTGTTTAAACCGGCAAATGTGACGAGTTTTAATGGGGAGAGTAACGCTTGCAATGCATCTGTTGCATGGCCTGAGCAGGGCCAAGGTGAAGGACAAGATTCAGCTGATCAACAACTTGCTGGACAAGGTGGACGAGATGATCGTGGGCGGCGGCATGGCCTACACCTTCCTCAAAGTCCTGCACAACATGGAGGTGTGTGTGCACTCGGGCGTCTTTCTCTAACAAAGGATTAATGAATTTCGATTTAAAGCTTTCGTGACTGCAGGGATTCATCTTCTTGGTTCTTTCGGTAAGGTCACGTAGAAGGGAAGTAATAAAAGAATAAAAATAAAACATAATAAAATTATTCTCACGACGTCGTGAGAATTATTTTATTATGTTTTATTTTTATTATTTTATTACTTCCCTTCTACGTGACCTTACCGAAAGAACCAAGAAGATGAAAGGATTAATGATAATCATTTTGACTTGTTACGTGCACACATTTTTGCTCGCCCTCGAAGAGAGTACGTGTGTGTACGCATGTTGAACTTCTTTCACGCCGTACGTAGCCAACCGTGCTCATCGCAGGTGCGGGGAGGGATAACTAAGCACAAAAATGAGGTGTAAAAAAAAATGGGAACGAACGACTCGGAGGCACGAGGAGCCCACCGCGCACGAGCGGGGAAGGCAGCGACCAGGCAGCGAGGCGGCACCAGCATTTGCACCCAAGCTCTGCGGTCCTCCGTATACGAAGATGTTTTCGGCCGAATAGTGTGAGCGTTTATATGCATGGGAGGAAACCGGAGTACCCGGAGAAAACGAGATTGAGGGGTCCAGCTGGAAATCGCCAGGTCACCTTGGTTGACGTTACCCGCGGTGTAGCAACGGCGTGGTGAGGAAGGAGTGGTGAGGAAGGAGGGGCTATGTTCATGTATTGAGTCTCAAGCTGTGACACGCCCCGTGGCGTAAGTTTTTATAGTACGCACAGAATGTATGAATGACCGATGCATTTATTTATTTGTTTAATCAGCTTGACATACGGTTTGATTTGTTTTCCTATAATTCTACGATTGGTTGCGGATTGTAAAATAGTTTTTTAGATTTTTACTTGATCGAGGGTTGGCACATATTCTTAAACGGCAGGGCACCATCTGCAGTTGCAACGTTGTGAATGAGATCTCGTTGGAACTTCTTTCGCACCGTACGTAGCCGACCGCGCTAATTGAAGGCGCTTACCAGGCCGTCCTTCGAGCGGGAGAGTTCCTGCTCTCGTGCCCGTGTGACTCGTCGCCCCCGCGTGCTTGCGCCAGATTGGCGGGTCGCTGTTCGACGAGGAGGGAGCGGGCATCGTGCGCGACCTCATGGCCAAGGCGGAGAAGAACAAGGTGACCATCACCCTGCCCACCGACTTCATCACGGCGGACAAGTTTGACGAGAACGCCACCACGGGCACCGCCACGCTGAAGACCGGCATCCCCGCGGGGTGGATGGTACGTCGCGAGCCTGCACCACAATCCGTGAAAGGGAGCGTCCGTAGCTCAACGAATTCCTCCAGTATGAATAAAATAATCTGATTCTCATGCGACGTCGGATCGTCGCTTGTCAAAACGGTTGTTGCGGAATTCCCAGAGCAGGGATTTTGCCAAAAAACAATTATTGGTGAGCGGGGGCTAAACTCTCGACACTTGAGGATTCCCGGTTTCAATCGCAGGCAGTGGCCGAAACCATTTTGAACGCAGGATCTCAGCGGTGCTGGGCTCAGTGCTCTGACCTCTGAGCCACCCTGAGCAGCCACGTATATTAAAAAAAGACGTGTTCAATGGATAATTCATTCATCACAGATGCATGCGTTCCGTACGTATGTGTCGCGCTTGCCGTCAGTATCCATAAAGTCACTTGAAACTCTGCCTCTGCTAAGCTTTAGGCTTCGAAGTTGCGGTGGGGGGGGGGGGGGGCCGGCTTTGGACAAATAGTGAACAATCCTGCCGTGCGTGTTGAACGTTGCCAAGGTGTACTTGACGGCCGTGAAAGTTGGCGGCGTCACCGATTGGTGTGGGGTTTTTTTTTTTTGTATTCAGGGCCTGGACTGCGGACCAGAGAGCGTGGCCAAGTTCACGGATGCGATTGGGCGAGCACGTCTGATCGTGTGGAACGGGCCCGTGGGCGTGTTCGAGTTCGCCAAGTTTGAGGGCGGCACCAAAGCCGTCATGGACAAGGTCGTGGAGGTCACCAAGTCTGGCTGCATCACCATCATCGGTGCGTGGGAAATAAACATTTCTCTCCCCTTGCTGCTCTCATTGACATGCTAATTTCTCTGCCCCCCCCCCCCTCTCAGAGTGTGTCTCCGGGTTTTCTGTTTTTTTAAATCCTTTATATTAAGTTCGCTTGCTTGCGTGCTTGCTTGCTTACGACCGTGCAAATCTTTCGGTCGTTTTTTAACCCACTTCCCGTCATCCAATCGAGCTGACATTTTCCACACAGACTCGTTGTGCGTGACAATTAATTTTCGTGAAATGTTTTTCCCAAAATTTTACACTGTTTAGGGAAAAAAATTTAATATTTTATTACCAATTGCTTAATGCTGGCAGACAATCATCTGACCCATAGGTGGCAGCCATCTCAAGCCAGAGGACGAGAGGACTCTAGCCGCCACGCATATAAAGGATTTAGAGTGAAAAACTTAGTTTTTACGGGTTATTTTTTCCCTCTATATTTAGAATAATTACGCATTTAGAGTATTTGGCTGCAATACATTTCCACATGATAAACCACTGAGTTGAGACATCATTAGTTGCCAGGTCGCTTCTGAAAGAGCTATATAGCTCAGTAGGCCTTACCTGGTAAAATAAAATAGTTTCATACATCAAGTCAAGTGAATGTTTTCTCATGCTTCCTCAAGTGACGCAAGTTTCAAGTTGATTTTGTTTCTCACCTGTTTAATACAACATATTAAAATAAACTAATTGTGGTGTCATCGATAAGACATTTCTAATGTAGCCTCACGGCCTTACAGAACACCCCGTGTTCACATTGTTTGCTGCCCCCCGTGCCCCCCGCCTGTGCCCTCGCGCTCACCTGCTCTGCCGTTACCCGTGTTGCTGGGCAGGTGGAGGTGACACGGCCACGTGCTGTGCCAAGTGGGACACGGAGGATAAGGTCAGCCATGTCAGCACCGGTGGAGGTGCAAGCTTGGAGCTGCTGGAAGGTGAGCTTGACAAGTGGAGAGGAGTGGACCCAAGGTCAATGCGAGATGAGGAAAGTCGGACAAAGTTTGGGTTTGGCTTGAGTGGACAATGGACAAAGATGGTCATTCGAGGCTCGGTCCCAAGAAAGCGATGGCACGACAGGACCCAGAAGAGCTCGGACTCGATGTCGCTGTTGTTGCATGGGCAGGGCTCGGGTGTGGGACTGCTCCTCTCAAGGACTGCCAGAAAACGGAGCCCTGTGACGTAGGAGAGTCCATGCCGCAAACAGCCCTCGGGATCGAGGAAGGCTAGAAGCGGCGACAGACGATAGACTGTAGCCATACTCTTAGTTCTTTCGGTAAAGTCACGTAGGTAAAAAATGAAATTAAAATTAATTAAAAATAAAAACAATAAAATATATATATTTTTTAATTTTAATTTCATTTTTTACCTACGTGACTTTACCGAAAGAACTAAGAGTATGAATCCTTGCAGTCACAAAAGCTTCAAATCTAGAATTAGACTGTAGCCAGTTTGGAATTGGATGGGGTTCAGTGAAGGGAGAGCTGCTCAAAAGAGATGCACGAGTTGGCGCATTTGCTATGGAGAATTTGAAGCCTTGAATGAAGGTGATGAAATTCTGCCACCCCTGAATAGGCACGAGCATGCTCTAGCCAGGAGGAATGGCTGCATGGGAGCTCATTGGGTTTCTCAGGCAGACGATGGCCAAAAGGTGCCCTTCTTGCAGATTGTAGTGGGCGAGAAGTGGCACAGCATTGATTGAGTGGAGATTTAGCTGGGTGAAGTGAACAGGAGTTGACTTATGCTGCTCGAGGAGGATACCGTACAGCGGTGGAGGTTGTTGAGGTGAGATGGAGCGGTTGTGGCATAGGGGGTGTGGTGGAAATTGCCTTTGAGTCGTCGTCGTCATTGAAGAGTGGGCAGGGGAAGTAGACATGGGGTTGTCTTAGTTGATGTGATGCAGCATTGGATGTGGAGGTGATGGAGGATGTGGGGGAGGGGTTTGGTTGGCTTCGTTTGTTCATTGAGCCCTGGTAGAGAGTTGTGGAAATATTTAAGTCTGAGCATGCAGGGTTTTTTTACACGTTTTTATTTAACTCGCTGTCTGTTGTTGTATCCTCAAATCTTGTAACTCAATTTTAACCCACTTGCCAATGTGGTATCGACTGCAAACTTGGTATACTTATGTCATACTGATGACAATACTATATTCTATCATAAAAAAAAAATTTAAACATTATTTATTATATGTTATGTTTTGGCTTGGGTCTAATTGTCCACGCTAAACTCACGTTGGCTGTAAATCACCACGGCCCCTTACGTTATGGCAAGCTTCGGGGCCACTTCCTGGAGTCGTGGAGTTCTTCCATTACTAGTACGGTACATTTCATTAAAGCGTGTTTAAAAAAAAAATTATATTACTTATTCCATTCCTGGTGGGACCAGGCCAACAAGATGCCTAGAGACATGCTTGTTTCAGCAAACGCTGCCTTTGGCAGTGTCCTGTTCGTGGTAACTCGACCATCTCCACCTCCACTGATTTTAGCTCTGGCATGGATCCCAATTGTCTGGATTACATGGCTAAAGATAGTAATTCGGAGAGAAAAAAATCAGTCTCATACAATTTCTTCTTTTGGGCAGTGGCTGTTCTTCAGACGAGTCCTTTTATGATCATTTGAATTATTCCAAGTCGTTAACTTTGGCATTTGATCGAAGATATTACTGGTAGGAACCACCTGGTTACACCAGCCCACAGGGGATTATTGTGTCCGTCGTGCATCCAAAAATGGGTGGGGCTGGGTGGAGAGGGGAGGGTGGGGAGGGGCTGGGTGGGGAGGGGCTGGGTGAGGGGTGGGAGGGGTGGGGCTGGGTGGGGAGGGGCTGGTCACCCCGTGGTGCCCTTATCAAACTTAACGTTTAACCTACTCACGCCGGCTTGTGCCCGCCCTCACAGTCGGCCATATTTGCGGAATACACCACGCCGCCGTTGACCCTGGCCATTGACCGAGCAACCCGACGTTCCTACCAGCTCCCTCCGCAGGAATGTTTTAAACATTGTTAGCCGTGAAACTCTGAAGCTGTATAACTTGCATATCTGTGTGGTTATTTTTCAACAGGGGAGTGGCAGTGTTAGTGGTTAGCGCGCTGCGCTATGCACCCAGTAACCTGAGTTCAAATTCCTGCTCACAGACAATGACAGTGGCGAATATTTGAACCAGTCCTGGGCCTCCCCTAGGTCTACCGAGCCTTTAATGAGTTCCCAGTGATCTGTAAACATCAGCACTGTGGGAGACAAAGGCGGCCAGGCGTGGTGCTGGCCACTCACCCCTTCGTGTGCCATACTGCCCATCATAGATGCTCACTTAAAGCACTTGTCCAAGCGGTCTGCCGAAGGCTAATACGGAGTGTCATTGTTTATCTTTTGTCTGTATTTCCGCAGGTAAAGTCCTTCCTGGTGTAGCTGCCCTAAGTGCTGCTTGAAAAGGGATCTCAAAAGATGCCTGCGATGCGCTTCGTCCCATCCAACATGCCGAGCAACGATGTCGTCTTGTCACTCGCCTGCCTCGACCACACGTGTTTTCTCTTCAGCGGTGCAAATGGTGTCGAGGCGTTTATTCCATTAACAACACGACGCCCGTGTCATTTTGACGTGAGGTTTGCTTGGTGTGATTTTAGTTGCGTGCAATGCGGAGCCCTCGGAGCCAACGTTATCCAGCTGTCGATGCCACCGGTAATCTTGTGCAACGTTTCCTAGCATTTCAGTATATGTCGTGGTCTGACATTGTCGTATCATAGTTCGTGCGAGCACGTCGCCAATTAGAAAGTGGTCAATTCACGCCGTATCCTGTGCAAACACCGACCGTGTATTAAAACAAAAATATTCCGCTCGGATGCATTCAATACTTTGACCTAATGTCCTCTGCTGTGGTGCGCACTGACTGACCCTTGTGCAAAAGATGGGATGTATCTTGCTTGAGCTGCAGTAATGTACACGTGTTTTGGCTTCACCAATCAGAGTTGTACGTGCTGTGTGATATCGCTCTGCCCATTTCAATCACACAATCACCCTTGCTTGAATTGGGAACGTTTGTTTGTTGTGTTGTCATGTTGTACGAATAAAGTGTGATGTGCAGTGCAGTATTCCCTACGTAATCATTTTATAGGTTTTTTGATCGAATATTTTGTTTAGAAAGTTCAAATCCACATTTACAACACAAATAGAAAGGCCAGGTTATAATAAATTAGGGGGTTTAATATGTTTTAACTCCTGTATTCCAATATCGGTTTTTTTATTGTTCCCCTTCAGAGAATTGTCAATCTGGTAACATAATTCTTAGCATTGTGGAGGGACAAAATCCGAAATCCAATGCTTGTACTGCCATCGCCTTGCCATCCCGCAGCCAGCCCCAACCGTCCACATTCTCGCGATCGCCATGCAGTCTCGCATTCAAATACAAACCAGGCTCAGCCCTGGCATTGTCAAACATCTTTAATCGGGGAAGACGACTGAAACGGTGACTTTTTCATAATATAGGTTTTTGGGTCAGATCGCGTTATTTATAAATGTGTCGTAACCCTCCAACACCCGACATGGCCAAATAGTAAAAAATGTGTCACGTTTTTCAAAGGACAAAATTATTCACTTCTTTAGCCCACCGGTGTGCTGAAGAGAGCATCAACAGCATTTTAAATTTGAGTAGTACGACGTTTCGCTGATTATTACAATCGGCTTCATCGGTCAAAAATGCTGTTGATTCTCTCTTCAGCACACCGGTGGGCTAAGGAAGTGAATTATTTTGTCCTTTGAAAAACGTGACCATTTTTTACTATTAAGCCGTGTCGGGTGGTGGAGGGTTACGACACATTTATAAATAATGCGATCTGACCCAAAAAACCTATATTATGAATAATATTTGTCACGAAAGCCTACCTGTTAAATTGACAGTGACTTTTTGTCAAAGTTGTAACAGACATACGGGGACTCAATGTATGTTAACTGCCTTGCCTGGTGTACAGGAGGTCGTGGGTTCCATCCCATGCCTGACGTCTGTGTATTTGGACTTTGCATGTTCTCCCCGTGATCACGTGGATTTTTCTCCATTTACCAACGTGCGTTTAAGAGTATTTGGCTGCTATAAATTTCCACGTGGTAAGCCACTTCGTTGAGTTATTATTTGTGGCCCAGGTCACTTCTGAAAAGAACTACATAGTTCGGGTGGGCCTTACTTGGTAAGATAGCTCCAGGGCCTTCGGGCGATATCTGTGTCAAGAGGCTGGGTTATGGGTGGATGTTGAGTAATGGTGCAGCGACATAAAGAAAATAATACTGGTATGAACCTCCTGGTTACACCAGCCCACAGGGGATTATTGTGTCCGTCCGCCGTGCAGGGAGGGGCTGGGTGGGGAGGGAGGGGCTGGGTGGGGAGGGAGGGGCTGGGTGGGGAGGGGAGGGTGGGGCTGGGAGGGGAGGGTGGGGCTGGGTGGGGAGGGGCTGGTCACCCCGTGGTGCCCTTATAAAACTCAACGTTTAACCTACTCACGCCGGCTTGTGCCCACCCTCAGTCGGGCATATTTGCGGAATACACCACGCCGCCGTTGACCCTGCAGGCCATTGACCGAGCAACCCAACGTTCCTACCAGCTACCTCCGCAGGAATGTGCTATGTGGAGGAGGATATCGAGGCAGGAGCAGGATCGTGACATGGGCATCGCTTTTTCAAAGGAGGTGGACGTGGAAGGCGAGTGCTGTGTTCACGTGCGCAACTTCATCTTCGACTCCTGTTTATTCACTAAATTTCAGTAGGTGGTGGGAGGGGGGAAACTCGCCAATAAGAAGACATCATCTTGGTTCTTTCGGTAAAGTCACGTAGAAGGAAAATAATAAAATAATACAAATAAAACATAATAAAATAATTCTCACGACGTTTTGGCCACAACGCAAGCAGCCGTCTTCAGGTGGAGAACAGGTCTCGACGGCTGCTTGCGTTGTGGCCGAAACGTCGTGAGAATTATTTTATTATGTTTTATTTTTATTATTTTATTATTTTCCTTCTACGTGACTTTACCGAAAGAACCAAGAAGATGATTCCCTGCAGTCACGAAAGCTTTAAATCGAAAAAGAAGACATCATTTGTGAGGGTCGCCATACCACTTGAAACAATTTTGGGGTTTGGACAGCAGCACGTTGATGGTGGCCTCAAGAGGCCGTGGGGCCTTGCAATGAAGAACGCTGTCCGAGACGTATCCACAACGTTTCATGTATGCGTAGTGGGTACAAATTAGAGGGCCATAATTATAATATATATTCAAATATTCAAATATGCTCAAAATGTCCCACTAATATAAATATATTGCTATGAAAACAAATAATTGCTTTGCTATGTAAATAAAAACAACAATTTGCTAAACATTGGCCACAATATCTGGACTTGTCTTCATATAAATCAATGCATAGATTTCTGTTTATATGATTGTGGTTATGGTTGTACTTTATCAATCCCTAACCTCTGCCATTACATACAATGAAACAAGAAATGGTAAAAAAGTACAAACAGAGCAATGTAATACAATACACTATTAGACATTATTGTAAAAAATAAATAAAAAGTCCATCCCATGTGTTAGTGAATTTTTTAAAATATTTTATGCAGGAAATGAGTTTTCAAATTGAGATTTTTTAAATCCTTTATATTAAGTTCGCTTGCTTGCTTGCTTGCGTGCTTGCTTGCTTGCGTGCTTGCTTGCTTGCTTACGACCGTGCAAATTTTTCGGTCGTTTTTTAACCCACTTCCCGTGATCCAATCGAGCTGACATTTTCCACACAGACTCGTTGTGCGAGACAATTAATGTTCGTGAAATTTTTTTTTCCAAAATTTTACACTGTTGAGGGAAAACAAATTAAATATTTAATTACCAATTGCTTAATACTGGCAGACAATCATCTGACCCATAGGTGGCAGCCATCTCAAGCCAGAGGACGAGAGGACTCTAGCCGCCACGCATATAAAGGATTTATAGTGAAAAACTTTGTTTTTACGGGTTATACTTATTCTGGGTTGGGACCCCCCAGACAACCTGGAAGATTTGGTCCCCCCCAATGTTGACTCCATGGCTACGGCCTTGATTGGAGGCAACACGTTTATTTTCCAATAGCGATACAGAACACAGAGGGGTACAGCCCCTTCGACCCACTACACTAGGAAGGTGTATCCTCCTCACTGGCGTGCCCGAAACATTCGGGACTAATCTCTGTAGAGTCCTCTGCTATCGGGGTCTAGGGAGGCTACCTGACCCGACCCAGCCAAGGTCATTGGGTCCGGCTCTGCCTATTTTGTCTTCAGGGCACCCTCTTCATCTTCGAGTGATTTTCGAAACGTTTATTGGTTTGCCCATGTTTTTCATAAGCAACGTTTTTGGGTTTAGATCGCGTTATTTATAAATGTGTCGTAACCCTCCACCACCCGACACGGCCAATCAGCAAAAAAGTGTCACGTTGACAAAAGACAAATAGTTCACTGCTTTAGCCCACCGGTGTGTTGAAGCGTGAAACGCGATCTAAACCCCAAAAACGTTGATTATGAATAATATTGGTCGCGAAAGCCTACGTGTTAAATTGGCCATGTTTGTTTGTTGTAGTACAGAGTTAGACTGATGGCCTTAATCTAAGTTGTCTTGTGGTTGTTGTTGTTTGACTTGCATCCCACTGGGATTTTTGCACACAGCGTTGGTGTACGGTGCTTTATCTGCAATATTTTGCTGTCTTTTCTTGGATTTTCTGTTTGCACATAGTCACTTTAAGATGTTTTCCTGTTCATGTTTTTGTTTTTTGTTTGTTGCGATTGCACCCGATTCAAGAGCCGAATGGCTCACATGGCTATACCTAATAAATGAAACTGAAATGAAACTGAATCCCATTCCCCCTCTACTCTCGGTCGACAACTGCCCGTCCCATTCAGGGGTCCGGCTTTTATACCCGATCCCGGCTCACTCCCCCCAAGCCACTCCTCTCTTCTGGAACCGTCTAGAGGGGCCTGGAGTGTGACGTCATCCCCCAGCCCCCCCCCCCTATTGGGGTCAGGGGTCAGTGCCCCTGAACCAGAGCTACCCTGGGGGTGACCTTTTGCCCAATGGCCTCACTAATCTCCATCAGCCTCCCTTCTGCCCCCTGTTGACCCGAGGCCGTTATTACAGCCTGTAAGTCGTGGCAATCGCACACAGCGCTCAACGATGCCGCTACTACATCTGTATACATTAAATTGCAAAAAAATTAACCCGTAAAAACAAAGTTTTTCGCTATAAATCCTTTATATGCGTGGCGGCTAGAGTCCTCTCGTCCTCTGGCTTGAGATGGCTGCCACCTATGGGTCAGATGATTGCCTGCCACCATTAAGCAATTGGTAATTAAATATAATTTATCTTCTTGGTTCTTTCGGTAAAGTCACGTAGAAGGGAAGTAATAAAATAATTTTATTACTTCTATTACTTCCCTTCTACGTGACTTTACCGAAAGAACCAAGAAGATGAATCCCTGCAGTCACGAAAGCTTTAAATCGAAAAATAAATATAATTTATTTTTTCCTAAAAAGTGTAAAATTTAGGATTTTTTTTCACGAAAATAAATTGTCACGCACAACGAGTCTGTGTGCAAAATGTCAGCTCGATTGGATCACGGGAAGTGGGTTAAAAACGACCGAAAGATTTGCACGGTCCTAAGCAAGCAAGCAAGCATGCGAACTTAATATAAAGGATTTAAAAACAATGTTTACTGTACTCAACACGAGTCTACAGCAGTACACTTCTAACACGAATTATACAGGGTGCAATGAAATGCAGAACACGAATAAATAAAACCGCCCACCAAAATATTGTACGTAAATTATATAGTGTATACTATTTGTTTATTTCGGTAAAGTCATGTAGTTAGAAAAAATAACAAAAGGGCAGATAGGTTATTTTTATTTCTATCTACGTGACAGCGACCTCTGTCTTTGTAACAGACAGAAGCAACTCGTGGCGGTAGCCTCTGTCTCGGTGACAGGAAGAGGACTTCGCCATGACCCGAGGCTGTGTAAAAACAGCGACCTCTGTCTTCATAATAGACAGAAACAACTCCTAGCGGTAACCTCTGTCTTGGTGACA